TACAACACATGAATCTCTACGTCCCTTGGCCTTTTCAACTTTAGCAGATTTAGTTCATCACATTAGAACTAGTTTATCAGCAAGAGATTTAGCACGAGCAGTTAGGCTTATTTTCTAAAAATGTTCATGACTGCACACTACCAGTCACGATTCAAACTATGTCCTGTAAACTTTTGTTAAACATGGTCGATTGCATCCGGGTTAAAGCAGAAGGAAAAGCATCTCGTGAATTACTTATGAAAATTTTTAGAAGTTTTTGTGCTGAAATTCAAAATGATATCCAAAATGCAATTGTCTTTTATGTGAACAGAAAGTAAGTTTGTTGCATTTATTTATTTTATTAATTGATTTACTATGAGATTTAGTTTGATCATAGTTTGCAAATGTTAATATTATATACAAAAAGATTTTACTATAATATTCAGTTCTACTATTTTAATTAGGCTGATATATTTCTTTGTCTACTTTTTAATTTTGCTACAGAAAAAGTTATGATTGCCTAAAATCCAAAATATTTTTTTTTTTACATATTTATACTTCAAGCAGAAATATAATTTCTATCCTTTTTAAGGTCTTGATGTGACCGTAAAATATGTATTTGGCAGATGTAATTTTTTAATTGAACACCTGTGTAGAAGGTGTCTTCAAATTGAATTTAAAACAGAGCATTTGTAAACCATTGTTTACATCTTACTGTCTCACATAATGATTTCTTTTTATAATTACCAAACAATTTCAATTGTAGTCAATTTCAACCCAGTGTTCCAGGCTTTGTTTCATTACCGCAACTTCACAATCCTACACAATCAGGATTATCACAACAGGATAAAATTAAAGTTGAGCCTTCAGGTAATTATAACATGTATGTGCTTGGTGTGATTTTTTGTGAGCATTGATTTTGCACTGGCTGAAGTTGCAACATTATTTTTAGTAACAATTTTATTTATTTAATTTATATTTTAATGATTATGAAGTTATGAAAAATTACATAATATATTTATTCAAAATAGATAATTAAAAAACAATCGTAAGTTTTATCCGACGATGGTGTCAAATTGTATTGTAGGTCGATAGCGAAAATTCAAGTTATTTTGCTTTTGCTTTTTATAATATTTAATTAGAACTCGATGTATATCAATAAATTTCTTTTCAGGCGGTGTTGAGTGTTCGAATTCACCGCAAACAGATTCCCAAACATCGTCCGTGAGCGCGCGTACGTAGTAAATTTGCCTGTTGATGGTTCTAATAACATGACTTCTACTGATAAGCCATGTTTTGGATTTCCACCATCACAAGCCCAAAGCATGAGTGCTCAAGATTTCAGAAGTTTAGTTAAAACTTTAGTGTTTGGTGTTAAAAACTATTACATGGGATGTGCTCCTCTAAGGTCTGCATTTTTATTACTTCTATTTATTATATTTTATTTTTATATGGCTGTTTATAAAGATTTTTATTTTATTTGATTTAAAGAAAAAATAAAGAATTATTTTACCATTATTCTATTACTTTAAATTATCCAGGTCAATTCGGGACGTGTGGTCCTCTTATTGTTGGTCATGACTAAATAACAAATATAGATTTTTTTATGTTGAATCATAATTCTCTTATTGATATAACACAAATCTATTATCACCTTTTTTATTATCTTGTTATTGATATGCTAATTAAAATTAAGTGTTCAATTTAAAAGAGTATATAATCTATTGCTTTTAGCTTGGAACGAGTGATAATTCAGCCTACAGCAGTATCCAATTTACCCCAAGTGAAACTGAAGTCTTTATAAATCTTGTAAAATGGGCTCTAAAAGCATTGGATTTATATACTTCCAGTATTAATTCGATGGGTATGCAAAACAATGCTTCTAACTTACATGCTGGTTCTCAGAATACTGCTCAAATGTTGCAACAGCAAAGACAAGTTCCAACAGCTGCAAGAAATAAGGAAGAAAAGGAGGTTTTAGAGCATTTTAGCGGTGGTGGTAATAGTGAATAATAACATGAGTTGCTTTACTCTATCTCTACCGTATTTGTATGTGAATCTGTCTTGTTTTATGGGGTTTGTGCCAGCATTAATGATGCGATAGGACACTTTGAATGTTTTGTGAATTGAACACTCGTTAATGCAATCTTGTTTAATTTCAGTTTTTGATGATGCATACTCGAACATTTAGAGAAATATTTTCTGCAACTATAGACTATATGGTTGAACAAATTTATTGTAATCCTGCATTGCAAGTTATACCAAAGACATTTTTAGCTAACTTATCTACTTCGCCAATATTTGCTACAGTATTAGTGGAATATCTTTTAGAGAGGATGGAAGAAATGGGTTCTAATGTCGAAAGATCTAATTTATATCTGGGATTATTTAAACTTGTCTTTGGAAGTGTAACATATTTTCCACCAGAAAACGAGCATATGCTTCGCCCTCATTTACACAGGATTGTAAATGCTTCTATGGATTTAGCTATGACAGCAAAAGAACCATATAATTATTTTTTGCTGTTGCGAGCATTATTTCGTTCAATTGGTGGAGGAAGTCATGAGCTATTATATAAAGAATTTTTACCATTACTGCCTAATTTATTAGAAGGATTAAATCGACTGCAAAGCGGTTTGCACAAACAACATATGAAAATATTATTTGTAGAGTTATGTTTGACAGTGCCTGTAAGATTAAGCTCCTTGTTGCCTTACCTACCAATGTTGATGGACCCATTGGTTTCGGCACTGAACGGGTCTGACACATTGATCAGTCAAGGATTACGGACTTTAGAATTATGTGTTGATAATTTGCAACCAGATTTTCTCTATGAACATATACAACCAGTACGAGCAGAGTTAATGCAAGCGTTATGGAGAACACTAAGGAATCCAGATGCTGTTGCTCATGTTGCTTTTAGGTAATCCACTCATATATAATATATATATATATATATATATATATATATATATATATATATATATATTTAATTTTAAGTTTATCATTTTCAATATTTTTGCAATTTTAATAACTTCACCTATTGAAATATGAATAAGTTATCAATAAAGTAATTAGAAAGTGAATAGGTAATTAAATGTCAACATTCATTAAATAAACATTAAATATTAAATTTATTTTTCAGGGTTCTTGGAAAGTTTGGAGGTGGAAATCGCAAGATGATGATCGAACCTCAACGTTTGAATTATAAGGAGTTAGAAGGGAAAGGTTGTGCAATCCAAGTGCTCTTTGCAGATTATCAAAAACCAATTGATTTTGCATTGGACAAGGTATGCTATTTTATATTATTCTGCAAAATTGTGATTATTTTTTGGATTTTGCATAAATAATATGTTATTATTATCTAGAAGGTTATAATTTGGAAATGATTTTTATATTCTTGCAATTTTATTTTTTTCGGTATCATTTTTTTTTCTTCTTTGCAAATAATTTCTTTATTTATTAAACCTTAAGTTCAAATTAAACCCATTTTATGCCATTTTAAATAATAAAATAATTCATATCTATTATTGCATTTTAGTTTTTTAAATATTTTTAACTTGTCGTATTGAACTATTTTTAATTACTTATATTGATTTTACAGATTATTGAAATATCCTTCACAGCTTTAAAATCGAGTGCCACTAAGCCATACTATCGCCAGCAATGCTGGGAAGTTGTGAGATGTTATTTGGCTGCATGCATAGGTTCAGCTGATAACTACAATTCATTAATTGCTCTTTTTAAGCATCCTAGCTTCCAAGATAAGCAGATTCCACAAACAAATATTGGCATGAACCGTCATTTGGCTGATGGACACGATGAGATTGCGCGCAAAACTCATCAAACGGCTCTCACAAGTAAGTTGATAAATTTTGAAATGAAAAAATACTACTGGCACTGGTGATGCTTGTATTGAATCTTGCTTTTGCAAGCATTTTACAAATCGGACATAGTTTTTGTTGAAAGTGCTATTGACCTGAAACTGATTTTAACTTTAATTTAATTGATTTATTAATAACAGCAGATAGCTCTATATAATTTCTTAATATATTTAATAGTTGATTTGTTTATTGGCATTCTAAATTAGTAAGTTATTTATTTTTAAATAAAATATGCTTAATTGTTTATGTTATGTTATTTTTAATTAGGTATGTTTGTGGCAGCAGCTATAAAAGAACTGCGTCATTCAGTATTGAATACTATGATATGTCTAGTACGTCATTACACAATGATTGCAGTAGCTCAACAGGCCGGTCCTTTACCACAGAATTTAAAATCACGTCTTCCTGCTTGTACATTAGATCCATTTGTACTGATTGATGCGTTGGCAGTCATAATGGGACATGAAGAAAAGGAGTTATGCAAGCCAGGACATGTAGCATTGGTTCTAATTGAACAAACTGCCACTACAATATTGGGTGATTTGAACATTTTTCATAAATAATATTTTTTGTTCTTAAATTATTCAATGAATTTAAATGTGTTATTTGATCCGCATATTATAACAAAACTATTATTTACAAAGGATCTTCAGCGAGGGCTTGTCATTTGCCTTTAATGGAATATCTGGCAGAAAAGATGGTAGCACTATGTTATGAGCGGGCTTGGTATGCTAAGCTAGGAGGTTGTATTGCCATTAAATTTTTTGTTGATAAAATGGCTTTACATTGGATTTTTTCGCACATGCTCGTATTCCTAAAAGCATTTATGTTTGTGTTCATGGATCTAACAGGAGAGGTAAGCATGTATCTCTATATTATTTGTGGCATTTAATTTTAAAGCAAGTTGCATGAACTTTCTGATGCGGGATCAACATAATTAATAAAATTTTGTCCACACCTTGTAAAATATTTGGTGATTAGTTATAACAAATAAAATTTAATTTCAATTATAAGAAATGCTTTTTTCTGATATTGGTTTCTCTGTGGATATGATATTACTGAGTATTCTAACATTTTACTATGCTGATTTTATTCTCGTGTCAGGTTTCTAGTGGTGCTATTGACATGGCCAAATCCAACTTAGATAATATGTTGCGAGTGTGTAACGTAAAATTGGAAAATGCCTCTCTTATTCAAATCCAAGAAAAAGCTCTATTTGAAGTTATCAGCGAACTCGTGCGCCAGATTACAAGTCCGCATACGATTGTTAGAGAAGAGGTATTAATCACAATTTATAAAAGAAAAATCACTTTTAAAACAAATTTAATAAAAAAAAATTATTCTAGGCAATGCAGTCATTACGCCTAATAGCGGAATTGCAAGGGTGTAGTGTAACAGATGTAATGATGCCACATCGCGAAATCTTAGTTGATGTCATACCACCCAGGAAGCTTAGACTTAGACTACGGCATCAACCTACAAATGCTCAAATTGGTTTAATGGATGGCAATACGTTCTGTACTACTTTAAATCCAAGATTATTTACCATAGGTAATATAGAATTGAAAAATATTAATTTAATATTATTTTTTTATATATAATTGCAATCATTTAACATTGATAGACAGTTCTAATTCATGAAATTAGTGGGAATATTACACAATGATCTATGATTTAATTTGTATTTGTATTTAATTTTCTTTATAATAATTTCAGATTTGACAATCAAAGAACACATGAGTTTTATTTGTGAGTTGCTTGCTCTATGCAAGGATGATACAATAGGTAAATCTAATGATGCTATATTCTTTTAACATTTTATGATTATTTTTATAATATTGTATATAATTAATCAAACACTTGTTAGGAAATCTGCCTTGTTATAAAAATGTACCGGACTTGATTCCAATACGATGCTCCGCTCTTAATGCTTTAGCGGCTTGCCATTACATTTCTAATGATGAATACCGTGAAGAAATTTTAGAGACACTCATTGCAGCCCTTGATAAACCTAATTCGGAACTTCAGAAAACTGGCTTTAATTGTATTAAGCGATTTAAAGAAAGTTATGTGATGGAAGATAAACAGGTAATTATACTCTTTATATATGTATCAAGATATACATTATCTAACATATATATGTGTATATATACAACAGGCCTGGAAGGACCCAAGCCGACACCGAAAAATAAAAAATAAAAATCCGGTTCGGTGAAGAAGTATATATATATATATATATATATATATATATGTATGTGTATATATACATATATATATATGTATATATATGTATATATACATACATATATTTATGTATATATATTTATATAAAATTTAATATTTCAATATAGTTATATGTACATACAATTTAATAACTTTCTAAATATCATTTGTATATTGCAGATTTTTGATAAAATTAAGCCATTGTTTAAACAACCATTGGATGAAAATGTGAAATTGTGCTCTTTTAAAAGATTAGCTTATTTATCACAGCTGTTTCCGAACTTGTTCACTGACGAAGTATGTAGAGAATTGTTCCAACACATGAAAATCTTACTTGAAATATCTCAGGAAAATTGCTGTGAGTATTTTTCTGTTATGATCATTTTAATGTCAGTTGTTAATGCTGTGGTCAAAAATTTCTGCACTAAAGTTTGCAGAATTGCATCATCATTACTAATTTCTATCATACTAATTTCTAGCTGCAAGTTATCCTCCTTATGCAAAGAATACGGAGCTTGAGCAGAAAATAACTTTGTTAATTGAAATATTTTGTCATTCAACTGCTGGCACACCTACATTCTTAGAGTTGCTTCACATTCATAATAATGTGATGTTTGAACCAAGTTCTTCATTCAGAACTCCTTTAATAAGATTTTTATTGAGAACTTCATCAAATTTGATTAATTATATTTTGCAAATAAATTGCATGGTTGATCAACAGTGGACTAGATTTTTGTTTGATATCTTGAAACATAAGGAAGGCGGTCCTTTCCGCAAAGCTGTGCAATCAGTCTGCGAAGAGAAACTAATACAGTTAGTTAAGTGTGCAACAAAAGAAACTCAATTCTCCGAGGTGCAGATTTCAGATCAATATGAAGTTCAACATGTTTGTATGAAAGTAATCACCATATTAATGAAGCATGATAATGAATGGATATCTACTCAAACTCATTTAATCGATGCTATTAAATCAATATGGAATAGTGAAGAATATCAAATTCGAATGACAGGAAAGAAAAATTGTGATGCAGATTTGCTTCATTGGAAAGAGCCTAAGTTGATTGTAAAGATTTTACTTAAATACTTTTGTTATCATCCTGATGATATTGAGTTGCTATTTCAATTACTCATTGTGTTTGTGAAAAGGTTTATACCTGACTTTCAATTTTTACGAGACTTTCTGGAGAACACAGTAAGTACACAATATGACTATCACTGGAAAAGAGCTGTGTTCTACAAATATGTTGACATTCACAACAATCCTGTAATATCTGATGACTTGAAGGCAAAAGTATTACAAATGATAATTATACCATGTTTTTCTAAGAGCTTTGAAAATGGTGAAGCTCAGCTATTGATTGGAACACCGCCAAAACCATTCGAAGATGTTTCAGCAAATATTGTCTCTGTTTTTATTCAAAAAGTTATTGATCCTGACAACTTACTAGTATCAGATAGCATTAGAATAGCATTACTTCAACTAGCTTGTTTATTTGTTGAACAAGCAGCCGTGCACATACATGATCCAGTTAATAAGCAACAAGGTAACTTTCTATAATTATTTGTTATATTGCAAAGATTTTTATTATGTGACGGTTTATAGTAATCGAAGTGAGATTTTACAATATAAGTTGATGCAAAATGCTATATAAATGTTGTTTTAAATTTCCGTTTTTACTCCTTAATTGTTTTTACTTTATAGAGCAACAATTTGATTGATTTTAATTTCAATATTATAAAATGTTTATCATCATAATTTGGTTGCATTAAAACCAAATATAAAAATGTAAATATTGTATAAATATTTTCAATGATTTAATAATAGATAAAATTATACAATCTTATATGCATTATACTATTTGTATTTTACTTTAGGTACTAAATTGAGAAGATTGATGCAATTTGCATGGCCTTGTTTGCAAGCCAAAAACTGCGTTGACCCTACCACACGATACAACGGTCACTTATTATTAAGTCATATAATATCAAAATTTGCAATTCATAAACGAATTGTGTTACAAGTATTTCACAGTTTATTAAAAGCCTATGCGATTGAAGCGAGATCTGTTGTTCGACAAGCCCTGGAAATTTTAACGCCTGCTATGCCAGTAAGAATGGAAGAGGGAAATAGTATGTTGACACATTGGACCAAGAAGATTATAGTTGATGAAGGTCATAGCATGCCCCAATTATTTCATATTTTGCAGTTAATAGTTAGGCATTACAAAGTAAGTTTCTCAAAAGAAAATAAATTAGGTTTATGGAATATTTCAGTATAAGACTCATTTATGTTAAAAAAAATTAATTCTGTTCATCATAAATAAATATTATGTAATATTTTTGCATCAATAATAATGGCTTGAACATGCCATATAATTAGAAATTCATTTGTATATCAAAAATTTATTGATACGTTTTTTAAGGTATATTATCCAGTGAGACATCATCTAATTCAGCATATGATTGGTTCAATACAAAGACTTGGTTTTAGTCCAGCAGCATCGTTGGAACATCGTAAGCTTGCTGTTGAGCTAGCAGAAGTAGTTATAAAATGGGATTTGCAACGAATTCGAGAAGGTTAGATTGCACTTGGATTCTATATATATATATATATATATATATATATATATATATATGTATGTATATATATATATATACTTTTAATAATATCATTTTATCTGCTCAAAACAAATATTTGAACACTTTGCCTTGATTGCAATGCACATTATTTGCTAAACTTGCATAGATATTATCATTTTAATATAAGAATCAATCATAACATTTGCTAAGTTTTGTTATATTTTCATATTTCTTTTAGGTGATTCAAAGAACGTTTCCAGTTCGAATTCGTCGAATAAGAGACCAGCCTCAGATGACAGTGCTCCTGATGCTAAAAGATTGCTTACGGATGGCGGTGCAACTACAGTTTCATCTCGATCACAGGCTGATACATGCATGGCACTACCGCGAAAACACACAGATGCCATATTGAACTTTCTTTTACGACTCGCATGCCAGGTCAGTTTTAATATACATTCTTTCACAAAGTCTTCTCCGTTAATTCCGTGGCCGAGCGGTTGCTGACTTTGTATGGAAAGTTACTGACTTTGTATGGACAGAGTCGCGAGTTCGAGCCCGCGCACTGGAAGTCCTGATGTCGTGCAATAGCGATGTCCATTTTCACTTGGAAATATAGATGAAAAATATATTTCTATTTGAAAATAAGCCCATCTCGGGCACTGCGGTCTGAAATGGCATTGGGAAATCTCTCACACTATTCTTCCCTGAATTGAGTTGGACTTTAACTCAGCTTACGGATCTGCCCTAGGGCAGTACTACCTATTATTTACAGTCTTCTCTATATTGTAGAGGGGGTTTTAAAGATAGCTTTTTAAGGTTGGGCAACCTCCAGGCGAAAACACTTATTTCCGTATCAATTAATATTATAACGAGTAAGTAATTATATTTTATTTTTTGGCAGGTAAATGAACCATCTCCGCAAGTGAGTGGGAGCGCCGGAGCGAACAATGGCGGAGGCACTGTGGCTTCAGCTTCAGGAATTACTTCACCGGGTGAATTATTATCTAGACGATGCGTTGCTTTGATAAGAACTGCTTTAAAACCTGATGTTTGGCCACCATTAGCTCCCTTGGAATTACCATGGCTAGATAAAGTAAACTATTACATACTCATCTCTAAATTAAGTAATAAATTTATATCACTTACAATTAGTTTAATTTTTTATATTTAAATTGCAATATCAATATATTCAAATGTTCTTATTATGTAATCAACCACTGGACATACCAGATTTACGTTTATGAGCATTTTTTTATGAGATTTAATCTCACTTCATTCCTAATGTTATGAAAAACTGACAAACTGAAATTTTCTATTTTTAGGTATTAAGTTCTGTGGAGTTACCACTGGCAAATTTAGGAAATGTGTGTACAGGATTGGAGTTATTGACGCATTTATTCAATGTTTCGCAAAGAGATCACATATTATTAACTATTCATCCACTTCAAAAGGGATTGTGTGCATGTATTGCTTCCACTGACTCAAAGGTATTATTTTATCATTATTATCTCGTTTTGAATTTGATGTTTTATTATATTATTTATGATTAAATATAGGTTATTCGGCTTGTGCATAGTTTGTTACTAAAACTCCTGTCATCATATCCACCGGAGGGTACTGGATCCCAGTTGGCATCTCGTTACAGTGAACTTGAAACTATATACAGTACTATATATAAAGTTGTTAACGAGGGACTAGAATCATATGAAAAAAACAAATCTTGTTTAACTAACTTGTATGGTGCATTTATGTTATTGAAGGCAAGTATAGCAAAGCATTAATAGTAAGATAAAATATACAGTTATGCTTATACATTTTGCTTTTTCACTAAATAAACATTTTTGCATTTTAACTAAATAAAATTAAAATTACTAAAAAGATTTTAATCTGAGATATATGCATTATTATTTTTGTATTGTAATTGCTGATTTCAAATTTGCATTATTTAATGCATTTGACATTACTAGTTGCAACTAATAGTTCTAATAATAAAATAATAATAAAATTCTTCATTAGTGGTTAGTAATACGATATGATATTAAATTTGAATGATGTGCTTTTTTGCATATAATGCTAATTACAATGTTGCCCAAATAATTGAATAGTCTGAAAATGCAAAACGAATAATTAATTTGACAAATTATTTATAGGCCGCATGTGCAACTACGCCGTCATACGTAGATCGCCTCATAACACAATTTTTGAGAGTATTGCAAAGAATGACTGATGAACATTTATGCCCTGACAATAGTTCTTCAACCATCACTGATCTTTTGATATTGGGATTAGATCTCGTTAAAACTCGTATGGTGGTGATGGGTATGGAAATGAGGAAAACTTTCATTGGCAATGTACTTGTTAGTTTAATTGAAAAAACACCAGATATAAAAATTATGAAAGCAATTACCAAGGTAAGTAATTATCACTAATTTCAAATTTAATCAACTTATCGTCACTATTTACATTTATCTGATTAGCCTTGTGTATCCAGGAAATATCAATTAAACACACACATACACACACACACATATATATATATATATATATATATATATATATATATATATAATATGATATTTGAGTATCGATATTCTGATAAGCAAAGTTCATATAAATTTAATTATTCTAACAAGTGTTTTTTGTGTATGTTTTAGATATTGGAAGAATGGATGAAGCATAAAAATCCCATAACTTTATCACAGGCACCAAGCTTACGAGAGAAATCCATCTTGCTTGTAAAAATGATGCAATATGTAGAAAAAAGGTTTCCTGACGATGTAGAACTCAACTCACAATTTTTAGAACTAATAAATTATGTCTACAGGTAGGTGGTATCACTCACTTCTTTTCGCTTGCAATAATAATTATCATTATTACCCAAACCAATTCAGAGATGAAGAACTTAAGAGTACGGAGCTTCCAATCAAGCTCGAACCTGCATTTTTGTCTGGTTTAAGATGCTCTCAACCCCATATTAGAGCAAAGTTTTTTGCAGTTTTTGATCAATCAATTAGAAGAAGATTGTATGACAGATTATTATATATAATATGCTCACAATCTTGGGATGCTATGGGCTCTCATTATTGGATTAAACAGTGTGTGGAACTAATTTTAGCTACTACTGTACATGGTAAGAATAGTATAAATTTGATATGTTTAATTTTGGACTCTCAAAAATAACAAATAGAAATGTATGAATTGTGGTTATTTACTTACTTTGATTGTTTTTATTTTGCGAAATCAACAAAATGTTGAATCATGCTATGAACTTCCATTTCTGGCATTCACAATATTTGTGAGTTGTTGAGAAAATAAATCTGCTTGAAGATAGACACATAAATTTTAAATAATTTATTTACTTTGAAATTGATTTACTTATTATTTTAAAGGCCTTATGTAGTTAGGTTCTATGCAGAGTGCATAATAAATATGTAAGTACATAGAAATTTTTGCATATTTTTGGTATTAGATTGATACAGAATTAGATTAATGATATTGGTTTATTGCAAAAGATAAAAAAAGTCGTTAAAAGTTAACTAATACAAAAATCATTGAGTATACATTTTATCAACTTCTAGGTCACCAAATAAAGATATCAGACAATGAAAATTTGCTCCCAAGTATTTGTTCCGTAATTTTTAATGCAAATGCTGAGGATAGAGCTCAATATGATGATTACTTAAAACAAAGACGTGAAAGTAATAAGGACGACAATTTCGTATCAGGTTTGTATATATATATATATATATATATATATATATATATATATATATATATATATATATCTGCGTTTTTTTTAATTGCAGAAAATATTATAAGATTCCTATAATTATATTAATCTTTTTAATTATAGAATTAATTGAAAAACTTAGATTACATTAATACTCAATTGATATTAATACTTGCAATCAGTCATATTAATTAACATCCTACATCCTTTAGGTGAGTCTACAGCAGAAGAAATAGTAACAGATTATTCATCTAATGCAGAGGCAAAGACAGCCTTAGAGGCTTCGAAGTTAACTACCACTAAAAGCTCAATAGATGATATAATAAATCTTCAGGCCAAATTCATTCAGGTATTTCTCAGCCTATACTTTATTTTTGCACTACTTAATTACAAAGTACTGAATTACAAACTGAAAACAAATTTGACCACGATTCACAGCACGGGAATTACATAAATTATTAATTAATAAATAAATTTATTTATGTATGGTACTAATAATAAGTAATGAATCAGATCGATATTGATTTTAGAATTAGCTGTTAAATATTTTTAACAATACTAGTTAATATGGATACTATTATATTATAATAATTATGGCACTGAAGTATGTTTATTGTATTCCTAATTTTTAAAAAAATCTTGTAGGAGGCAAGTGCAATAAAAACTGAACAACTATTAATTGCAGCATCTCAGCTTTGTCACACAGATATTAATTTGGCTGAAAGTATATGGATCGATATATTTCCGAAGATATGGAGTATATTAGAATGTAGTCAAAGAAATGTAAGTTGCTATTTTATATTGTTTATATGTAATAGTTTATGCCAAACTAAAATGAAAATAATATTTACAGACTTTAGTGGCTGAAATTGTACCATTCATATGTAGTGGAACACATGTTGGACAAAAAGATTGTCAGCCGAGTGGTATAAACACATTTGTTGAGGCAATGTCGCATTGCTATCCACCAATTGCTTTGAAACCGTAAGTATCTAAAGATTTCAAGTTTATATTAATATTTAGTGACTAGTTCATTATTTATCATTGAATCGACCAATGTGTATGATTCAGAAAGTATTCAATGTATTCAATTTGAGGTTCGAAATAACAGGTTTGTTACCAGGTTCAAGATAATCTTAAATGGTCATTATTATACACTAGTTTTTATTTTATTGCAGGGCAGTTATGAAATATTTGGGGAAAACTCATAATATTTGGCATCGAATGACTCTAAATCTGGAAGAAATGTCAGTAGATGATAACATCAAACATAAAATCAAAGAAGAAAAATTAGATTGTTATGAATTTCAAGCGGATGATACATTGCAAACAGTAATTTTATAAATTATTCTTAGTGCATTAGTTTGAATGTTTTGTGAAAATATTTTGTTTCAGGATATTTTAAATTCTTTGAGTGATATGTATTCTTTGCTGCATGAGGAGGATTTATGGTCTGGATTGTGGCAGAAGCATGCTCGCTATAAAGAAACATCTATAGCTATTGCATATGAACAACAAGGATTTTTTGAACAAGCTCAAGGAACTTATGAGGTAATAATAAGTGTTTACTGGCTAAAGGTCTTTATAATACTTGAAGCAATAATATAAGTGGTTTTATATACAAAAATGAAATAAATAAAAAGATTGACCTAATTTCTTCAAGTGTAAAAAATAAAATGTTGCAGGTAGCTATGTCGAGACACATACAAGATTGTGCTTCTGGGCCAATGGTCCCAAATAGTCTGCGAGAAGCACAACTTTGGGAACAGCATTGGACCAGATGCGCTAGAGAGTTGAATCAATGGGACCTGTTACTTAACTATGGCAGAAGTAAAGCTGAAAAAAATCCTTTTCTCATCTTAGAGAGTGCTTGGCGAGTGCCTCAGTGGGATCTTATGAAGGAAGCTTTGGCTCAAGTATTTATCTATACTACTTATTTAAACATTAACTATTAATTACATTATTAACATATGTGTTTGTTTACAGTTGGTAAGTTTATCATCGAATAAATTTTGGATTAACGATATCGGTATGTTGCCTAATAAATAAAATAAAATCTTCATATTTAGCAAACAGCAGTTATCGTTCAGCAGTAGTTTGCAAAATTCTTATAATTCGAAACATTTTTTAATTTTGTCCTTTATGCAGAGCGAGTATAGCTGTCCAAAGGAGTCTATATGGCGTGTAAATTTGTACCGAACCTACTTAGCGGTCTGCCAAACCGACGAGCCACCAGATAAGAGACGAAACTGCCTCAAAATGCTGGACCGATATGTTGAAGCTTGCGCTACCTTGTGCATGCGTGAATGGCGCCGGCTACCACGAGTAGTTTCTCATGTGCATTTGCCATTATTGCAGGCTGCGCAGCAGGTGTGATATGCGCTTGTAAATCTGAATATTATGAGTATTGTCAAAAGTCGAACAGTTCAATCTAATACATAAAACAGTATTGTAGCATATTAATGCTAGTGGTTTAAGTATTTATAAAAGTATATTTATATGTATATATATATATATATATAATTTGTATATATACATATGTTGAAGGGTAAAATATATATTTATATATACATACACACATATCCATATATGTATAAATGTTTATGCTATATATATATATATATATATATATATATATATATATATATTTGGGTTTCTAGAACATGTATATAATTCTAGAAACCCAAATCAATTCAAAATGATGCTTTCAGAACATTTGATAAACCTGAATTACACTTTTAACATGTCAAATCCTTCCATCCTTTACATTGAAAAAAATTGTGACCTTAGAAAGATAGTTGAGTCTTTACTTATATCCCTTAATACTTCTTGTGTAAACAAACGTAATTCCTCACATCTCTTACATGACAGTTACAAAGTCATAATTAATTTTATGAAGAGTAATTCTATACAGTTTTAGAATCTTTCGTCCGTTATATTTCTTCTCTGTTTTTCTTTCCCCTTTCGTTTCTCACAACTCGCTCATTACACGTGTGTGACTACACTGCGTTGTAACCTTGAACAGTGTCTACAATGCACCGCTATCAATAACATTAAATATAGAAGGGCAATATGTGCTCTTTCTATTTCTCGTTTGTTAATATAATAGTATCTTATTATTTTACACAAATTTAGTGTTCAATCAATTTTACATCATAATTAATTTTTTCTGTTGTTTTGCCTGGTTTGGTATGTATAATTTCCTCCTATTTATATATTTATATTTGTCATCAACTTTGTATTTATGTTATGTTTTTTAGATTATTGAATGATGACACACATCAAGTGCCGAAACGTTTAATGGAATAAATAATTTTGTTATTTAATCTTTTTTTAATTCGACGGTTGGGCTGCAAAAATATTACAAATATATATATATATATATATATATATATATATTATATATATATATATATATATATATATATATAAAATGTTTAATTTAATGTAAATTCAACATTATTGAATGCAACAGGTAATGGAACTACAAGAAGCGGCTAATATTCACCAGGGTATGTTGGGAGATGGAGGTACACAAAATGATATGAACGCAATAGTTAAAACTTGGCGAAATAGACTACCCGTGATAGCAGACGATATGTCGCACTGGAGCGATATCTTTACCTGGCGTCAACATCACTACCAATACATTGCGAGTCATTATGAACAAAAGAACGAGCCGATGGAACGTACTGTTGGAAATAGTGCTACATCTCAAACCGCTGGAAATAAACGCACTGGAATGTTGGGTGTACATGCTAGTGCTGAGGTTGGTTTTAGTTAAATTCAAAGCGCAAGGTTGTTCTTAATGGCTCATAACATTCAGGCTGCTTAGGGTAAAAAGCTAATTGTTTTCATTTTGGCGTTTTGGCTGGATGTTGAGTTCTGGTACAACCTGATATACTACATCACAATGAGATCTTAAAACTTAAAAGTATCATTATCTCCTATCATAACTTTTGTTTTTTTTTTCAGACTCTCATACACTTTGCAAAGATTGCACGTAAACACAATCTTCCTGATGTTTGTTTAGATTCATTGTCTCGAATCTATACTATACCGAGTGTACCTATAGTCGACTGTTTTCAGAAAATTAGGCAACAAGTAAAGTGTTATCTTCAAATGGCATCTTATAATAGTAAAGCAGAATTGCAGGGCGGGTTGGAAGTAATTGAGTCTACACAACTCAAATACTTTCAGACCACGGGAAATGAAATGATTGCAGAACTGTATTCATTGAAAGGAATGCTTCTTGCTCAATTAGGTATAGTTCGTAAAAAAATTAATACTGCAAGTTAATATATTACTTATTTGTGTATGTATATTTTATATATTGCCATTATTATTTAATAGGGAGATCTGAGGATGCAAACAAAGCGTTCTCGTTTGCAATAAGCACGCACGACAAACTAGTTAAGGCTTGGGCATTGTGGGGTGATTATCTTGAATCTGTATATTCCCGAGATACACAAAAAAATATTACAATTGGAGAAAGTGCAATCACATGCTATTTACATGCTTGTCGCAATCAGAATGAATCTAAGTCTAGAAAATATTTAGCGAAGGTAATAAATTCATAAATTTGTATAGAAATATTTGATATATTTAATTTCTTCCTGAATTCTACAATAATGAAACGATAAAAAAATACAATTTCTACTGTAGGTTTGCAATTGTTGTTTTAACATGTTTTGGACATATTTAATTTGGATATAGGTATCGTACTATGCTGGATTTGGAACAATGAATAGATTTATTAATTCCTGTGATAACTTAGATTATTTGTAGAGTAATATATTAACGTTATTTTGTGTAAATTATTTTTGATATGTTCTGAAATGTGCAGAATTTTTCCAAATATTCTTTAATGTGCAGTCCAGGTTTTCAACTGCAGGCACTGCAAACATAATTTGTTTGACATTTTCTGCTCTTAATAGGACCATTAGATATTTATATGTGCAGACATGTCCGGGGTTATATTAGAATATTAGATTGAAGTATTTTTAATGTTTCTTCTTTCTAATGTTTTAAAGGTTTTGTGGATGATGGCCCAAGATAATAGCAATGGTGTATTAATGGCGGCCGTTGATAAATATGCAGGAAACATTCCATTATTATTATGGCTGCCTTGGATTCCACAACTGCTTGTTTTTCTTGTGCAATATAATAATACAGTTATTATGAATTTATTGACGCAGGTAATCTTAATGATATTATTTTAGGAAATAAGTTTGCACAAATAGGTGATTGTAAAATTAATGTGACTAATTCTGTTAAAAAATTTAGATTGGCAGGATGTTTCCACAAGCAGTGTATTTTTTAACACGTACAATGTACTTCACTCTAAAAATAGAAGAGCGAGAATGGCATAAGTTAAACAATCCCTCAACTCGCAGTCCTTCTACAGCTCAGCAGACACCAGTAAGCGAAGCGATTAAAGTGTCTCCCACCACATGGCGCTGCATGCGAATTATGAACATGCAAAAAGAAATACATCCAATGGTACTTTCATCCTTAGAGGGAATTATTGACCAGGTACGTACAGCGGTTTTATGGATCGACTTAGTCATCATGCCTGAGGTTGAAAAATAGCGAATTACAATAAAATATTCATCTAACTCCCCACTCTAGATATAAAACATATTTATATGTATATATATGTAAATATATATATATATATATATATATATATATATGAGTGAGTTCTTGAGGGCGATACATCAAACAAAGAAAAGCCAAAGATTTATAGAATAATCTTTATTTCCAAACGTTTCGACATTCAATTTAATGTCATCATCAGTGGATCTAAAAACAGTATGAAAATTAGCATATCTAGGTAATTATAATATATGTGGATTGGTAAAGTAACTATACAATAAGAGAAAAATTAACAAACAGCAACACTTGACAAAAAACCAAATATAAAAGATAGGAAAGGTAGTAGAGACTAGAATTAAATAAATAATTAAAAAGTATAGGCAAAAATATTTAAGTACACTCATATAAACTTACGCATATATACATATATGTACGTACACATATACATATATATATATACATAATTATGTATATATACATAACTCACTCATATATATATATATATATATATATATATATATATATATATATATATATATTAACAAAGTCTAATAATCGTGCATAACATCAATAAAAAAACATGAATTTCTTTCAAAAATTTATTTTAAATCCATACGTTTCGGCTATAATCCTAGTCTTCGTAGTTATTCGTAGACTTACATCTCCAACCAGTCTACGAATAACACACGATCCATTTGTGATTTTTTCAAATCAGTATTTTGTGAAAATATTGTGTAATTTCAAGTTAATGTTTATAATACATAGTGTAGTGCATTACCATATCCTGATACCATGGATTATTAAAATTTTCCAATTTAACACTAAGATTAACTAATTTTTCCACTGAATGAAGGCTAGGATTATAGCCGAAACGTATGGATTTAAAATAAATTTTTGAAAGAAATTCATGTTTTTTATTGATGTTATGCCCGATTATTAGACTTTGTTAATACATATGTCAACAAAAAAATCAAATTCAGAATCATACAATATATATATATATATATATATATATATATATATATATTCAATAGATAAGTCCTGGATTTTTTCAATATATTGATTGTTTCTTTTCCGAACAGTAAATCCAATAATAAAAAACAATATGTTTTTTGAAGATGTTTAATACGACGTTTCGGAACTAGGTACGTTCCATCATCAGGTTTATTCTGTAATAATTTATATATCCATATTACTAATATTTTTTTGTTAAAAACACTCGATTTTTTTGGAGGATATTTGTAGATGTTACGACTACACAAGACTTAACCACACTGTGTGATTTTTTTAATCATTGTGAATTAAAATATTTATTTAGATGGATTGGTTCCGAGAGAATGGTTATGAAGAAGTCTTACGACATTTACGCCAAGGACTTGCCAAGTGTCATGCAGTAGCTTTTGAGAACCGTGCTGCTGTGGGTAAAGCTCGAATCACGCCTCACACAGTAAATTTCGTAGAAAAGCTTGCAGCAACATTTGGAACTGGAATTGGTACACTTAATTTTGAATATATATTTTATATATATATATATATATATATATATATATATTTGTATATGTATAAGATTGAGTGCGCTTTTTACTTATGTTTATTCTTTGGTATTTATGTTTATATTTAGATATAACTATATATGTCGAAACGTATCTATACAATTAATCTTTAATGCTCTGATAAACTGTTTTTGTTCATATTCGAATTAACAATAACAAATTCAATTATTTATAGAGCATATCTCAAGTTCAACTCATGCAAAATTCCCGACAGCAGCCTCAGAATGTCTAGCTAGAAGAGCCGAAGCGACTAAACAAGATCCCGTATTTCAGAAGATGAAAGATCAGTTTAAAAAAGATTTCGATTTTAGTCAACCAAATGCCATGAGATTACACAATCTGATTGGAAAATTCAAGAAATGGATTAAAATTTTAGAAGCCAAAACCAAATTATTGCCTAAGTAAGTATAGTATGAAATTAATAGCATTACTTGGATTTGTATATGTAGTATTGACCTTCGAATAAGGACTCCAATAGTAATAAAAACACTTTTTTTTTAATTACTATTTATTGTCGGCGTTTTGGAACTATGTGTGTTCCTGTCAAGAACGTGATCTTAGCCAGAAAATAAACAAACAAAACTATGGTACATAGTCATTATTAATCAAATTTTAAATTATAATAGGTCATTTTTAATAGAAGAGAAATGCCGCTTTTTGTCCAACTTTTCATTGAAGACAGCTGAAGTAGAGTTACCAGGAGAGTTTTTGTTACCAAGAAATTCACACTATTATGTTCGGATCGCGCGCTTCATGCCACGTGTTGAAATAGTTCAGAAACATAATGCTGCAGCTCGAAGACTTTTTATTAGAGGACATAATGGAAAAATTTACCCATACCTGGTTGTGAATTATTTATGTTTTGGTGATACTAGAAGAGAGGAACGAGTACTACAATTGCTAAGAATGCTAAATCATTACCTCGGAAAACAAAAGGTAACAGTAACATAAGACTGTAGAACTATATGTATATGAAAAACAATATGTTAGGCTTATTTAGCTAATCTAAAATTATAAATCATAATTGTTTAAGTTTAAAGCTACTTATATATTAAATAGTTGCACTAATTTTTATATATTATATTTGAATGATGTATATAAAGTTGCAAAGAATTTTTTTTATATATTTGTAGGAGACTTCAAAAAGATTTTTACATTTCACTATTCCGAAAGTTGTTGCTGTTTCACCACAGATTCGTTTGGTAGAAGATAATCCTGCATCGTTGTCACTACTAGATATATACAAAAAAAGTAAGACATGAATATAAATCGCATCAATTTCTTAACTTATCTGCAATTTACTTCATAAAAAATTAAAAATAAATTATTCTGAACATAAAAGAAATGTTTGAATTGCAAAGTTATAAAGATTTTGTATGTTTCTGAAAATTTTAATCATTTTTGGGAATTCTGAATTTGTTTTTTTTTTTTTTTTATAAAAATAAAATGAATATTAATAAATGAATTGTTTATAATATGAAAAATAATTTAAAAATATGAATTTTTAGATCATGATATTTATTTTATAAAAGAAAGCTAAGACCTGATTATGTGGTGTCATGTTTTAGGTTGTGCTACTACATTGGCTATTGAGCATGAAGCACCAGTAGCACGATATTATGAAAGATTGGCATCTGTTCAAGCAAGGGGTTCGCAAATATGCTATGAAATTCTTAGGGATGTTTTTCAAGAAGTGCAAAATTCCATGGCTCCTAGAACTTTGCTGAAGCATTGGGCTTTGAAAACATTTCCAAATGCTACGGATTATTGGTCTTTCCGAAAAATGGTATTTAAATTAATATATTTTGTGCATTTGTATGTTTTGTTTGAATCATTATTAATATCAATATTTTTAGTTTACATTACAATTGGCGCTATCCTGTTTTGCGGAGTACGTTCTTCATCTGACCAGATTGAACCCTGATATGATGTACATACATCAAGATTCTGGCTTAATGAATATTGCTTATTATAAATTTGATATTGACGAAACTAATTGTAAGTACTAATTAAGAATTAAAATTTCTATCATAACCTATTTAATTGATAAAATCAATATGGTAAGTGACAAAATTTTTGAGAATAAGAATTAAATTTTAATCTGATTGTTTCATTAATATCGTTGAAAACAGATTAAAATATATATTTAATTCCAATAAACATAATAATTTTTTTATTCCGAAGTTTTATATAATATAAATATACTAATTAATTGTCTAAAACTTAACTTTTTAGGCGAACTTCTTAGTAACAGGCCAGTTCCATTTAGACTAACACCAAATGTTGTTGAATTTGTTTCAAATTTTGGAATTACTGGACCACTGACTGCATCCATGATATCTGTAGCAAGATGTTTGACTCATCCTACATTTAAGGTAATAAACTAATGAAACTTACAAAAAATAATTATATAAGTTTAAAAAACTAATAACAAACATTCAATACAGGTACAAACAATTCTAAAACAATATTACGTGACGAAATTATAACAGCATATAAAAGACGTGAAGATAATAAAATAATTCAAGAAAGAAACAAAGGTATGGATGAAACTCGTGAAGCACAGTCTCTGAATCAACAAGAGAAAGCAACTGACAACTCTGTAAATGATTCAGAGCAATACATTATTTTAACCGTTGGCGTAGTAAAATCTATAACATCTCGACTAAATAGCATTGCAACTTATGAAGGAATTGATAGTAAAGTCAGCACGCTTGTTACTGCTGCCACCAATTTCAATAATCTGTGTCGTATGGATCCTGCTTGGCACCCATGGTTATAAATTTTATTTTTGATGCAATGTAATAATTCTATCAAAATAGTATTAATATTTTAATAGGTCAAGTATCAGTATAGGTCCAGTATTTAGACACATATAGCTTAACTTGATACACTTTCTATATTGACTTTCAATTGAAAATGACGTATTGCTCAATTTTGACATCAACTAAATCTATTCTTTCTAATATGTAGAAAAATATTTGATTATATCAAGGCTGAAATATTGAGTGCTTTGCACAACTCAATACTTTGCATATATATGCAGAATTTTAATAATATAAAATATATAAAATGTCTGTGAATAGTATAATTTAGTATATTTACTTTTAAGTAAGATTGGATTAGAAGCAGTAGTAAAATAAATTTAAAAAAATTAATTCATGATGAATGGAATTGTACTTGGTATGAATGGTATTTTTTTTTAATTTTGAATTATGTTATTAAATTAATGGCATAAACGCTCTTGTATTTTATAATAACCTCAAAATGTTGAGGTACCTTAGTTTATTGCAAATTTAGTATATGATTACACAATTCCAAAATACTCAATTTCTTCAACAAAAAAAGCTCACAATTAAATTAGAACAAAATTAAATAAAAATAATTTTGATTTGCATGCTTGTCATGTGATAAATTCAACTAAGTATAGATGCTTATTGATTATATTTTTATAGCACAAGAAATAGTAATAAGTATTACAATAAATACATTTAATAATGCAACACTAAAAATATTTATATATTTTTTTATTGGTAATATTACATTCTGATTTAATTATTCCGTTATGACGAAAAGAACCATTATTATATAATTGTCTATGCATGAAAAACCAATAAATCCAAATAAATATTTAGATGTGTTTTTATATTGCAAATAGTCATTTCACAATGTGTGCACATCATGCTCTTCAGACGTTTGAAAGTGTAAAAAAAAGACGAACTGTAAACTTGTTCCTTCAAACTTTTATATGATTTAATTTATTCATTGAGAAGTTCAAAAATCAAATTTCCAGACTATTTCAACCTGCACATGTACAACAGTTTTATTTCGATCCATGCAACACGTTTCGAACTCAGCTCTCACTCTTCTTTTATCTATGCAAGTATTACTCCTTAAATTGAAATTCTTATTATAATTCTATTAATCTTTATAAAATTAATTGATAATAAATAAATACGTAATAAACCTTTATGTAATTGATAAAAACAATCCAGATAATAGAAATAAAAAGAAAACTAGACTAAACTAAACTTAACGTCCGTTGGGTGTTTTTGCAAATAACATCTTTTTGGGATTTAACGGCGTGTCGTTTTACATCAAAACAAATATTAGCTGACAGCAAATTCAACTCATAAATGTGTCATCCGCCATATTTGTTGGTCGTCAAGTTTTACTTAAAATCCGCTAGAGGAGAGCTTGTGCTCTCCTCTCCGTATTATTTCTCAGATAAGTTACGTTAATCTTTTGTAAAGAAATATTTGCAAAAGGCAATATAATGTTTAATTTGTTAAAATATCCGATACATAATTGTGTATCGGCCCATAGATGAAAAAGAGTATATCAATCATTTAAAGTACTCTTCTTTTATCTATGGAGTATATAATGTATTTTCATAGATAAGGAATTATTCATTATTCCTCTGGAGCTCTGAATGCTTATTTATCTATGGTCTGAATGACAAAATTTGTTTTCTAGTTTTAGCGGATATTACATATGATATTAACGGTTTTTTTTTTGGGATGACTTCATTGGTGTTGATAGATAAAAATCAATTTTGACACATATCGAAAATATTTGTGCTTGGTTAAGATTAAAATCAACTTATTATTCTATTACTGATATTTATAAAATAGTTATATTTAAAAGTCAATACGATGGATATTAGTTTAGCAGAAATAATTAAAAAGAAAAAAATGCAAAATTTCCAGAAACGAAATGGGTAACTTTCTAATGTATTTTTGTATTAATGTCTGCATTAATGATAAACTCAATAACGTAGTCGCCCGATTATATTATATATATTTTTCTTCAATTCAATTCATTGTTTTATTTATTCTCAAATTTTTATATCAACAAAAATATTTAACATGCAATATATGTAATATATTATTACATTTGGTTTGATTTACAGAAAAAATAGAATACCTAAAAAACGTGGAGCATTTCAGTCTGTACCAAAGGCGAATATTAAAGATGCTAGATTGAAGATAATACAAAAAAATCGGACAAAATTAGTTGATGCTCGTGATAAACTAGCGCAGATTGCTAAAAAAACTGATGCAAGACTTAAGCTGCAAAAGTTGAGAAAACAGAACGTAATAAGTAGTTAATTTTATGTAGATACATATTATGGCATTAGTGAATATACAAGTGATTAATTGCAGCTTCCTCAAAATGTTGGAAATGGTCGATTTGCCTTATCGACTAACAGAAGTGGCCAAATTAGTTTATCTACAAAAAGAGGTATACATACAAAAATGAATATATATATATATATATATATATATATATATATTTAATGATAAAACTTATTATTATTTAGATTAATTAAGATTATTTTTCACTAAATAATTAAGTGTGTAAATGAATAATAAAAAATATCATTAACAATAGTGTCTGACGAAGGGTACATTACATATCCCTGAAACTTTGAATAAAATAAGTGAAAGGTTCAGAAATATAACTATCATTATATAATATAATCATAATGATTTTATGTAATTCACACTTTATGTTGTCAAATTTAACAAACTGTTATATTAGGAAAAATTAACTTTAATTTATTAGTAATATATGATTATATATTTTAGATTTTGTACGGAAACCAGCTGATTTACAACGACCTGCCAAGAAGGAACTTATTCCCTCAGGTATATAAATAATAATTCTTATTTCTGTCTGTTTTAAATATTTTTGAAGTTTTTCATTCATATTTAAAGTACTACATGAATATAATTCATACAATTTTACTACTAATCAATATTTCACAATAAATCTTGTAGTTTTTTAAAAATTCAAATATTGAATAACTTTTTATTATTTTTCCTATTATACAATTCTTATTGTTTTCTTAGGAAAATATAAAATATAGAAAATTATATACGCATATGTGCTGTGTTGAAATGATCAATCAAGAACGATTATATTCTCTAAGGTTGAGCTCCTTATTTATCAATATTTTAAATATATATTCTATTAATTGAAGCAATGTTATAACCTCATATAATTATTTGATTATGCTTTAGATTTTGTACGCCAGCCAGCTGCGTTACAATGGTCAGTGAAGAACAATTGTATTCGCTCAGGTTGAGCTCATTATTTATGAATATTTTTATATATATCCAAATAATTATTTGTAGTCTTAAGAATATTTGTGGTGCAACATCTAAATACATCAACATTTTCAGATTTACCTATAACTATGACATTTAAAAATAATTATGCAATGTCTCGGATGCCACCATTGCCTGACATTGGCAATCGATCTTCACTTTGGGATTCCTCAATCAGCCGCAATGTTAAAACTATTCGCAAGCCACAGTCCATCATTCCTAAAGATTTGCACATGAAAATCACTGTTAATCAAAATGTACCTGTAAAGTAAGTCTATCAATATCAATAAATATTTCTTTTTTTTTTTTTTAATATGTATATATATGATAAAGATATATATATATATATATTCTTTATCATACATATTTAAATGTGTGAAAATGTAAAATTATATTTCTCTGAGATTCAAAATGAAACTATTTTTGATGGATGAATGAACACAGTAATATTTCTCTCATTTCATGTGACTACTGTTTACATTGATACTTTATTGTAGTTTATTTATTTAAACTAATTGATTTTAAAATTATTAACTGAGAATGAGATTTAATACATTGAATGTTCATTGTGCTTTTATTTAGTGTTATTTCCAATTAATTTACAGTCGCAATATTATGGAAAGCCCTGTAGCCATGGATATTGATGATGATGTTGTTGATGCAATATATGAAAGACCAAGTAGATATAGATCGTTACGAGAAGTGACACCTCCACCAGAAAGACCACAAAATAGGGCCATATCAGGATGGAACTCAGCTCATCTTGTTCCTAGAACTAATACTATTGATTTAACTGATTCTGTCCATTCAAGACTAGATTGTAGTCCACCGCGTGTTAGGACTATGGGTATTTTATCATCAGGTTTGCTCATATTTTATCTATTATTTTAATATATATATATGTATAATATCTATATATATATATATGTTACGGTAAATGTGCACTTTTGGTGAATGTGCACATTCACCGGTGAAGTGCACATTCCCCAACGCTAGGTGAATGTGGAGTTTTCAAACAATCAATTTAAAATAAAATATTGTTTACGTGCGTACTTGGATCGGTCTCATGAACATCTTGCGTATTT